CCTGGACCTGGAGCTTATGATCCATAACCAGTTAAAAGACCTCCTTCCTGTAAGATTGGCAAATCAATGAGAGGATTATAGTTTGCCAATCCAAATCCAGGACCAGGAGAATATGAACCTTAAATTGATACAATTCGTCCTTAATCTGCTATGGTTAGAGTAGGATCAGCAACTAGAAGACCTTTAAATGATGTAAAAGGAGTTCCTGGGCCTGGTACTTATGATTTACCTTCAAAAATGGTAGAAGGTCCATAAGTTAAAATATTGGGTCATAAATATGATCCTGTATAAGCTCAAAAAGATTAGGTACCAGGACCTGGTTAATATGAGCGTCCTATTATGTAAAGACCACAATCAGCTAAGTAATATAATCTATAAGTTTTAGAATTGGTACATCAAGAAGACAAGATCTAAATTCTACTTTAGAGGTTCCAGGACCTGGATAATACAAACCTAAAGATAAATTAGGAGGACCATGTTGGGGATTTGGAACTGGTAAACGACCACCTTTGAATCCAAAAAATGATACTCCCGGACCTGGTGGATATGATTAAGGAAATGAATTTGGGTCCTTACCAAAATATGCTATGAAGAAAATACCATGATCTTTATAGTGAAAAAACTTAGCTTAAAATATTAAAAAGATATTTAAATTTAAATATATTAAATTTTAGTTAATCTAAGATTTTCAACTAAAAATAATTCTTCAAGAAATTTCTCTTGAATATAATTTACTTCATTTGAAAGTATTTTATGATTGATTAATTTTGCTCTTTTCAATTCAATTATTTTCAGCTTTACTTGAATAAAATTATATAATTTAAGATTTGATGAAATTAAAAAATAAGATAAGGTATTGCCTTTTTGAGAAAATATAATCAAACGTATTTATCAAACATATTTAATTCATCTGAATAGTACATTAATATATTAAAAATATATATTTAGATTATTAACAAGATAAAAAAATTATCTCAATTAATTTTTTAAAATAAGAATGTTAATTTAATTGTTAAAAGATTTATGAATTTTTTTGTTGAACATATACTTTGCATTATTTAAATTTACTGCCTTAGGTTTTTCAATTAAAAGGGTTAGAGACAATCATAAGCTAATATCAATTAAAATCAAGATTATGGAGAAATTGAATTTTTAAGTAATTTCTTATTTCTAATTTTTTAGGAATACTTTTTAGTTAATCATTGTTATTATTTGGATTTGTTTCTAGTATAACTAAAATGATTTATAATACTATTTTATAATTTAATTATTATCTTAATATAATCATTATATTCAAGTAATTAATTATAGAATAGATTCTCCAATTGCATATGTATTTTCTTTTTAATACCCACCCGATAGTAACATAAGTATTGGAATCTTTTTATGTCTTGCACACTTAAATACTAATTCATCTCTTTTTTTAATTCCAGAAGCAGAAATAGAACAATTACCAAGTGGATCTCCTGCCATAATATCTGTACCTGCATTATAAATAATGAATTGCATATCATCTTTGAGATTTACTTCAAGATCTCTTTAGAGTATTTCAATATATTATTCATCTGTAGTACACTTGTCTATGTGTTTAAAACATTTGATGGCTTTTTCTGCTTAACGATCTCTAGGATATATATAAGAGTTATAAAAATCTATTATATAAACTGAAGAATCATTAAGAAAATCTCTTTCATAGCCATTTCCTTGATGAGCATCTAAGTCTATTATTG